TACTTATACTATTTACTTTAATGTAGTTAAATAGATATCACACTGATATACACACATATATATATATATATATATATATATATATAATGGATAAATACATACAATGCCCCCTACAATTTTCTACCTATCATAATTGTTGTCCCCATGACATGTAATCGATAACTTTTACTTTTTCAAGAGTCATTCTTAACTTGGTGATGATCTAAAGAGGTTGAAAAGTAATGGTTTTGTGTTTTAAATAAAAGTTTTTAATACCCATATCAGCCATCTCTACTATATATTTACTTCAAGTGGGTTTCTCGTCATCATAGACTATTTCATTCTACTCTTGTTGGAAATAAAATCTGTCTATTTATCAGTAACATATTAAGACACAAATTCATTCCTATTCCATTTTGTTTCCTTATAAAATTTATAGACTTACATGAGGTGGCATGCTAGTTAATGGACTGAAGGCCATAGCAGCAGCAGCTGCCAAATTAGGATTAGAAGCAATCAACTCAGGATGCTCCTCCATCCACCTCTTTAAATCTTTTCGTACTGCCGCGGCTTGTTCTGCCAAAGAAATATTACCAATGTGTCTAGAGCCTTCATCAGCCTTAGCATGTGTGGAGGACAGCTCTGGAAAAAAATTGAAAACAATTTTCATGTTCAACAAACATACCTTGAAAATAAACAGTAAACCTTTCATTGGAACAAATACTACTATGGATATACATTATGTTTAACTAAAATATCTAAAAATCATAGTTTATAATTTTAATACTTCACTAGCAAAGAAGTTCTGAAACTAGACAATACACTTTTCTTTTAATATGTTAGTTTTTCTTTCTTATTTATACAGATTAACAATAAATTGAATAATATGATAAATGCTACTCGTGTTTCATGATTTAGATGTTTTTGGTATGATGAAAAGTTTTCTTAAGTGTGAACTTATTTAAAGAAGTGTAAAAATCAATTGAAAAAGAAAAAAAAATGGAAAAAGGAATGGAAAATAATAACCCTGAAGGCAACTTCTCTTATACATCTATTTTTTAACAAGTGAAACAGATATTAACTCTATATATAAGACTGTTTAAGTATTATTAATTAATAAATTTTGTAAGTAAATATTTCATGATTGTTTAGCTTTTTTTCATAACAAGAGAGTTAAAAGCAATTACTTTAAAAACAATAGTTATGACAAGTTTGGTTACGTAACTCGATAAGAATCGTATGTTGTGTTGATAATTCACTAACGTTGACGCTATTGAACATCGCCTGCAATCCACTGATATCACGGATATAGAGATTTCTAGAAGGTCTAAGTGATAGACGTATAAATAGTAGCAAGCAGGTGAAAAAAAAGAAGCAGAAGAGAGTAAAGACATGGGAAGGAGAAGTTTGGTCAAAGAAAAGTTAAATGTAAAGTCAACTGTTGTGGGAGTAAAAGGCCTAATGGTTGATATGTTAGAGTGAGATTAACAATTTTATAACAGGTTAAGGAGAATTAGTTGTCTCGTCAAAGGGGTTTCTAAAGTAATTGAACCAGCCTGAGTGGACTTTGACAAAAGGCAGACAATTCTTGGAATGACAAAAAAGAAGCAGACAATTTTGGCAGTACAGAATATAACTGTGGTAACTCAACGACAACATAAGTGGACTATACACGGATAGTTTGGTGATAGAAATAGAGAAAAATAGTGTGGCCTGTCAACTGAATTTAAAATAGGCCTAAGTGGACTTTCGACAAGAAGAAAACTATATAGTGTTTAAGATACAATTATGATCCCCATAGTGTGACGAGTTTTTGTACATATGTTTAACTTGTACCAAATATATATATATAAATAAATAAATAAATATATAATTTTGAAAACAGGTAGAGTGCATGCTGTTCGTTTTTTTTAATTTATCATCAACAAGTCACAGACACCTACTGTAGAAGAATCCGTAGCCCAACACACCTATATATTGAACTTACTATATATATGCTATTAAACGTTCCTGACAGTATACTATCTGGGTGTGCACCTTCTGTATTGTATTCTATTGCAATGAAAATAAAAAAAAATCACCTAGTGACTGAAATAGTTAGAAACTAGAAATAAACTTATATATATATATATATATATATCTGTATATTTCAATTATTGATTTTTATGTCTACATTTTTGTTACAAACTTTCTATAAAGTTTAATTTTTAATATAAAACTGTAGATTTTATTTTAGAATTAAAAAAACATCACAGTTAGTTTCACTGTGTTTATGATCACTATTGTAATATAAAAATAACTTACCATACAAAATTCGTAAGCAAGCCAAATCTTTTTAAAAATTGATAATACAAAGGCTTTATTTAACATTTGTAATACGTTTAAAACCTGTTTCATACACATTTATATAATTTTTCTTACATTTAGTTTTAGTGACTTTCTTTGCCCATTCAAATAGTTGCTAAGCCAATAAGTCCTAAAGTAAACATGGTCAAACAAACACTAGCATTAACAGTGAAACAATATATGATTCAGTCAAGTCCAAAGTGACTTAACAAAGCCAACCTCATTGTTTTCGACAAAAAACATTTCTCTTCCTAACATAATAATTCAAATGAAGTATAAAATGATAAAGCAAACTTTAAAAGACAAATATCAGAACTGTAATCGGGCTAGAAGTTATTCACAATCATCTTTTCTTCTGGCAACATATTACTAAATTTTTATTTTCGAAACTATTTTGACTTTCTCACTAGGTGGCTAAAAGAACTATACTATGTTGAGAAAAAACTTCAAGAAATTCATAAACACAAATGTTTTTATTTGGAGTGTGCTGAAATCAACACATAATCAAAATTTATGATTTAAAACAAATTTTATGTATAATACTAAATTTCTTTTAAACAAATTTCAAATCTAATGTATATAAAAAAACAAAGGGAAGAATAACTACAATTTATTTTCGACAATTTTTTTAACCCTCTGGCTACAGGTAGGTCAAAGTGCACATGTCACACCTTTTAGGGAGTTATATTCAAAGTGTAATTAAACTACTTTATTATCAATGCATATAAATAAACTTGGTATCAAAACATAGTTGATAAATTACATTTAAATATAGTTTTAAAATATTAATTTCAAAAGAAAATACTTAAATAAGTCCTCATTCTCGTCAAGTTATAAATCCCTATTTTGATTCCATGTCTATAGTACTTATCAATTTTAGTCAAAATAGGAATTTTAATGTATACATTATTTTCAGCCTAGTTTGTTTACTTTTTTTAGAGTCCATAGTTGTAGGCTTGAAAATATAATCTTTGTATTTTGATTCTACTTGTTTCTGTACATTTTGACGATCCCTATTCCTCTTTTTAAATCAACAATTTTTAATTATTTTGTTTCTTAAGTGTTTTATGCCCATTTATGGAGACAAAATTTAAGCTACATATGTACATATACATTCAGTTGAATGTTACATGTTTTTCAACAGTTTACTGCTGCACCGATTTTCTTTCCATCTAACCATTATTTACTGAGCCACATGGTTTTGTGTCCGAGGTTTCATGTAAACACACATGTATCAAGTGAAGTACGAAAAATAGTAGAATAAACCACCGCTCTCAAGAGTAGAGAAATCTACTATGGTAATCTTCTACTGTTAGAAAACTCACTGAAAAGAGTCACAGAAAACAACGTAGAGACAAAGTACAACGGCAAACTCGAGAAAGGATGAATCCTCAACATGGCAGTTTCCAATTAATGCACATTAGTAAAACACCAGATTTTTTCAATGGCAGAAAATGAAGGACTTAGAGAAATTCTTCAGGGCAAAATAATAAAGGCACTTGAATTAATTTTAAAACTACCCTATGACATACTCATCACAGCATTCATTAATATCGTCCAATATTCGTAGCCATTTTTTTCTATAGTGGCCTGTAAAATATAATCAATAATAATAAGTTTGGAGGCACTATTATAAATATACACATTGTTTACTCTAATAAAATAAAGCTTTTCCAACTGTTGGATATACAAGACTGTTTAGTTTAAGAGTTATTAGTTAGTTTATTTAGTGATCTAATATTTAATGATTATTTAGTTTTCGTAACAAGAGTGTTAAAAGTAATTATTTTGAAGGTGATAGTTATGGCAAATTTCATTATGTAACTTGGTAAGAGTTATATGTTGTGCGTGTGTAGTTCAACAGCTGTAAATTGACATCACGTTACCCGAACCTTTTGTTTTTTCTCGTTCCTTGAAGTGAGTATTATTACATCATAGTGTCTCATAGTCTGTAAAGGGTTCTAAGCCTCAATTGGGCAGTGTGTGTGTGTGTGTATAGGCGATCAAGTGAGCGCAACTTAAGTCAGAAAAGTTAAGTTACACTGAGTGATTGTTAGTTTAGCCATAACAGGTGATATTTTAAAGTGAGTTTCACAGTTTAACAGAGATAAGGAGAATAATTTGTTTTGTTAAAGGGTATTCTAAAGTAATTGGACCCATCTGTGTGGACTTTGATGAGGGGGGAAGAAAGAGTTGTTTACATTTCTGGATACAATTATGATGTAACATAAGTGAAATTATCCCAGATTATGTAGTAATAAACAATTTAGAGAAAAATAATCCATCTTGTCAATTGGGTTCTAAGATAACTGAACCAGCCTGTGTGGACTTTTGATAAGAAAATAAATTATTTACAGTTTTAGATACACCTGTGATATTCCATAATGCAGAGAATTTTTTGTACATACGTTTGACATTTTTTGAATATATTATTTTAAAACAAGTGGATTATGTGCTGTCCATTTATTGTTCAAATTTATCGCCAACAAGTCACAGACTGTAAAGAATCCTGACCCTATATAATAAAACCTTGACACCGACTAGTATAAAACAGAGTATTTCTAACTAGTAAAAGGGTGTTTAAATAGCTTCTACAATTCTATGATGCTTGAATGACTTCAAAGAGCTTATTTTGGTAGTGAAGAAAAACTTTAGAGTGGAAATCTGAACATTTAAGAATCAACTTAAAAATAGCCCTATCACCTTTGCAGGAGTTTTTGTTTAGTAGCTGTGCATAGATTTTGTTGCAGTATACGTTACCATTTTTGCTGTAGACTTCAGTGCTTGAATGGCTTTGAAGATAAACTTGGCCAGTAGCATTGAAAAACTGATAAAATCTCTCCTTATCTTTCTAGAACCAACACAAAAATAGTCCTGTAACCTGTACAGGAGTTTAAGTAGGTATGCCAAAGTTTGAATACAATATTCATAACCATTTTTTTCTGTAGGCTTGTTAAAGAAGAATAATAATGATAATAAGAACAAGAAATAGATGAATTTCAAATTTTTGTCTAACAATAGGAAAATCAACTTTTTTGCTATTATCAATATTTTAGCAACCTTAGCCATTGAGATAGAAGTCTGGTTTTTAAGATGGTTTTTGCTCGTATGTTCTATTAGAATATTTGTGGTTTATGATACGAGATTTTTTGCTTTTTGCATGTTATTATTCTGTGTTTTTAGGTACATAATTAAGTAAATAAAAATTATTTAGTATACAAGGGTACCATCAGCATAAAAAAATAAGCTCAAATTTCATCAGCAAGTAACAGCAAAAAACAAGAGGTCAAATGTAAATACTGTCATTGTCATGAAAATCCCTTTGCATTTGGAGCGGTGAACATTCGGACTCATAAGTTCACAGATAAATACAAAAGACTTGTAATGTTTACGAAAGATTGCCAAATTTTGTGGAGACACACTACCAAATTAAAATTTATAGTATAAACTCTGATGCTTAATTTGAGATTAGAAAGTTGGTCACTTTGACTAACCCTGTATGGAAAGAGTTAATTCATTGGTGTAGTTTTGCCATTGGGCAATGGATGTACCCAGTTGGATGTCAAAGGGTTGAAAGAAAATTACCTTTCTTCATCGTAGAACTACGCGATATCTCCTGCTTGTGAGAATGCATAGAAGCAAATGGCCCCAATGATGATGACAAGCCACCTTTTACAGGATGGTTCCTAAGAAGCTTATCCTGCTCATCAGTCTGCAACAAATAAAAATAGAAATAATTTTGTAAAACAACCTAATGATAACTTTTTGTGAAATGTTTCAACTATTGGTTGAAAAACAAAAAAAATAAATAAAATAAATAACGTTTGTTAATTTTAGACTAAAGCGACATTGGGCTATCTGCTGTGTCCACTACAGGGAATGAAACTCCAGATTTTGGCATTGTAAATCCATAAACTTACCACTGTCCAACTGAGGGACTAATATTTAATGTTATTTTACATAACAATTTTATACAAGTTATCCATAATTTTTTATTTCATCAGACCTTACAAATAAGTTTTAAGTGAAAAAAAACTGTTTATCTCATATGTCAAATTTTTAATACGAATGAATAAAAAGTATTAAAAAGTAATAAAAATGACATATGAAACTCTTCATTAATACTTAGTATGGATCCCAAGTAATTCATTCTTTATTTCTTGTAATTCTTTAAAAGATGAATCTTGAAAATTAAAAAAGAAACATGTATAAATTTTCAAAATTTTTACTAGCAAGGAAAAGAAATTATTCTTTGTTTCATTTTTTTGAAAATCTCAGACTTAACAAGTTTACTTACAGCTTCTTTCAAGTAAACAGCACAATAAATGATTTTTTTAAAATTAATACAGGAAATAGTTTTGGTAGAAATAAAAAAACAAAACAAATCTATTTATATGTTTCTGTCTTTAATAGTAATTAAAATTACCCCAGTTAATTGAATTTAGTAATTTTATGTGAAGAAATTAAGTAATAAAGCAGAACTTACCTTACAGGATCCTGCTGTACGTAACAGATGTCGTTCTTTCTCCTTGGACTTTTCAAGAGACTGCAACAGTTCCATATGCTTGCGTTGCCGTTCCTGTTCCATTAGCATCTCTTGCTGTTTCCTGGCTTGCAAGCTCAGAGCTAAAGCATCAATTTTACTTCCTATCCTACCTTGGCCTTTGATCCTGGTCTGAACTTGTCCACGACTATTTGTATTAGTTACTCGTGTACTGGTTGGGGAATCTCTAGGTGAACCATTGCCATATCGAGTAGGGGATCTGCCTTCGAGTGTAGAATGATAATTTGGTGGGCGACTTAATGGCAAAGAACTAGAACTAAGATCTATGGGAGCTGAAGATGACCCAAAGGATTCTGGATTTGAGGATGTAGTGTTTACACAAGTGGTACCAGAATGTGTTGAGGTGGGTTTAACTCTTAGATCAAGCGTTCTAGTAGTAACTGGAACCCTACTTGTTGAGCTCTGGTGTGCTGGTGGAGGACCACTGGTGGAGGTAATGGAAATAACACTTGAAGGTTTAACAGTTGAGGAGCCCTCATCAGATGTGTTATGATCATCCCGTAAAGGTGTTCTAAGTAAAGATGACGGAGGTGGAGGAGCCAGAAACTGGTGTTGCAGCTGTTGTTGAAGCTGCTGTTGCCGAATGCTGTGAGACACCATAGCATGCAGTTTGGCTAAAATAATAATCAAAGAAATTGTATATATTTTAATTTAATAACATGTAATGGCTTAGAAGAGAAATTAAAATACACCGATCTATCACATCAAGAGTCAAGCACTACATTGTGAATGCAGGATAGATGTAATTATGCAATGGATATTAATAAACAAAAGAATTACAAAAGGTTGAAATTTTAAACAGAACATAATTGATTCTCTTGAAAAAATTTACAACAAATGATGATAAAAAATATCTTAAAACTCACAACTTGTAAAAGAGATAATCAATTAATGTTTGTGACACTTAGTGGTAAGGTGGAGTAGCCAATCCAAAACCCTATGTTTTTTGACTGCTTATAACTTTTGACTAAAATAAGTTACCATAATATGGATTGGATGTTTGAATACAGCAGATTCTGAACCTTCCAACATCGTATGGAACACCTCCAAGAAGTAATTACTGGAATTTCTTGTTTTTTTGCCCTGTCACTCAAAAATACTATTTCACTTCTGGTTGAGGGGGAAATTCTGATAGTGTCTTAAAACTCACAACTTGTTTTACTGCAAAACAAATTTGTTTAATTAACAATTATATCAAGAATAAAATGCTTTTTCTTTACAGAATATAATTAAAGACAATATGGTAAATGACCTCTTTCAGCTTCTATTTCAAATCTTCTTCTTCGTCTTCTACGGCGTCCTCCAATGGCATCATTCTAATGACCCAAAACAATAAAAATACCAATTTAGGTCTTAGGACTTAGCACCAAAAGAGGACTAAAACTTACCTTTTTTTAATCAAAAACAAATACTTTAAGTAAAATGACAAACTGAAAATAAAGTACTTTAAATCTCAAACACTGACATTTTTTCTTCATAAATCAATGGTAGTTAATTTTAATTCCCATAATCATTACAAAAAAGTTCTAAATACAAATTTGTGAGATGCTAAGCACTTTTTTCTACTTAAGATATTAAACATAACGTAAAATGAGTTTCAAACCAAAACTGTTTACACCACTGAAAAAGAAACTTACTTTAGGTTGCATGGGACTACTTCTACCCACTCCACATTCCGACGCAGTAATAAGTGTGTCCTGTAGCATGGATTCTTTGCGAGGAATTTTATCTGGTGTACAATGGGATGAAGTTTCATTACTGTGTTGATTCACAGAGCTGGAGGTAGGAGAAACAGCCCGTGGTGAAACACTACCTGGAACTATTGATGTAGATGGAGTAGTGATGGTTGTACTGGCTGCACTTCCCATCATCATGAAATTTGGCATAAAGGTATGTCTTACAATGGGCCACTCATTTTTTTCTATAGCATGAGAGATGTGCTCAACTCTAATCTGAAGCACCTTGTCCTGTTCAAGTTACAGAACACAAAATATATCATCTTAAAATGAGGGCAGATAGATTCCCTATGTACATCATGAAACTTACTGATGGAAAATACAGTAAGTCATTAAGGAAATCATAACAGTCAAAATAACTACTTAACTGCTTTGAACAACGACAGAAAGCAACTACAGTATTCTCACACAACTAACATATCCTAAAAAAAAAGTTATGTTCCTAAAATGTTTGGCTTTTTATTTAACACAAGATTTCTCTCTCAACCAGAGGCACCTACTGTGGTAGTGATTGGATGCAAAAAATAAGATTTATCTAATTTTGATGAAACTTATAAAGGAAGTACCGTATGTTGGGATATGATGATTAAAATTTACAGAGTCCAAATCAGACAAAAACTGACCAAATTATGACTGGTCATATCTGGAATAACCTCATAGTTAATGACAGTACTTCTTGTGTAACTAGCGAATCTACTATGTAAGCCTTTTTTTTCTCTGTCTGTCACTGCATTTGTGTTTCAGACTAGAGCCAAAAAGATCTTCAGCATATAGCTCCAAGCCACACTGACCATGACTGGAACTTTGCTACTCTTTGGCACATCAGTATCAATCACCATTATTTCCTTAATTACCTATACATGCAAGGTTCTGAGATGTTCAACTTGCAACCTATGCAGCAACTGTGAATGCAACTTTTTGACAGTCCTTGTTGAGGTAAATGCATCTTTCAAGACCAAAAGATGCTGTGACAGCACTTAAAAATAGGTTTGGTGCTGATAAAGTCAGTAGTGATAGTATTAGTAGAATTCTGCCAGATCAGAAGATTGAGAACAAGGTCTTTAATCTCAAATAGACAATGAATAAAAGTTGCATAATTTGATTTGTTCATTAACTCAATCACTACGAGTTTTCCTAAGGTCAGTGGTCAAAGGGCATGTCTTCATGTTTGTAGACTTATATTCAAAAGTTTATTGAACTACTATTTTATTAATGTATGCCAATAAGTTTTGTATGAAATTGTAGATTATAATTCAAATTTTACTGTTATACATTAGATAATTTCTTTACAAGTAAATATTAAAACAAAATTCCTAACTATTCATTTTTTTTGTGTCTCGTGGTATGCCGAATGCAGCTTTGTTTAAAATTGGATGTTTGCGATATCCAAATACAAAGCCTATAGTTTCTTACGAATTAGAACCTCAAATTACCGATATCGACAAGCTAGAATATCAAATAAAAATTTCCTATCTTTTCTACTTACTGAGATATGACTATGTTTAGTGAATCAACCAAGGTGGTTCCTCCCACCTCTTCCATTTTTGGAAATACTTGCTTACGTACACCCACTTTACTCTATCATGTGTATATATATCCAATCAAAAGCTAAGAATTTCCCAAGTATAGTCTTTTGTTTCCAATCTTGGAAGGAAGAGGCAAGAGAAAACGGGGTTTGAAAAACTATTTTTTAGACCAAAACACAGTTCAGTTATTAAGTCTGATAAATTACTGTGGAATTCTGTGATATTGGTAATTTACGATTTTTTGTTACTTCAAAATGCATATACAAAACCTAAAAAAATTATTGGATGTTTGAATACAGCAAATTCTGAACTTTCCAGCATCATATGGAACACCTCCAAGAAGTAATTACTGGAATTTCTTGTTTTTTTGCCCTGTCACTCAAAAATACTATTTCACTTCTGGTTGAGGGGGGAAATCCTGAATTAATTGTTTTAATAAACTATGAAAACATTTCAAAAGTCATAAGTAACTGCTTATAATTTCAAAACTATGTACAAAACTAACTACAGTTTTAATAACTGGAATTAAAAAAAATTATTAATTTACAGCTTACAAAAATGGTTTTCAGTTTTACTAGGACAATGAAATATTTTCCAAAATGCTATTAAGATATGAGAACAAAAAAGTTTTTAACAAACCTTAGGCCATTGTAGGGGATTCCTTGAAGAATGAGCTAGAAACTGGGCCACAGCTGATTCATGGTTGAATTCCAGATTAAAACTACCATGGTTCATAATGTCATCATTTTGGAAGATGTCCTATACAGTGTAGAAAAGTTAATTGTTTGATTTTATTTTGCAAAACAAATTTTCATTTTTTACAGCCGATATCTTTACAATGCATGTATTTAAAGTAGATAAGCCTTACAAAAAACTTTACAGATAGAGCTGGAGGAGATAAAACTGTTAAACATGAAATACAAACCAAAAGTACAAAGATGGAAATTAAAATTTTTCTGCACTGAAAATGTATTTCTGACAGGTACTTACCTCCTATCACATCAAAGATTTCCTGAATTTGTGCTGCCATCTATATGTGCAATTTTCACTCAACACTAGCCTTGATGCTCCCATCTACCTTCACGTGTTTACACATGGTATATATGCACTGTAGCATGCAACAATTTTACACCAATAGGACACTATCATCACTTCAAGATTAGGCAAAAAGATACACTGGGAGTGGGGAGTATGGGTGAGAAGTGTGAGAGTTGGTAAGTATTTATTGGAATTACATTTTCAGTGTAAGAAAATGTTACCTTTTAACACAATACTTACAAAATTGCTAGAATACCACACTGAAATGGTGGAGAAACTGGTACAAAAGTTCCTTACATGAGCCCTTTTCGGAAGGTGCCTGAAGAGAATCCATGGAGTGTGATACCCTAATGTATGGGGTCACACCTGCGGGAGACCACACCTCCTCTGTATCAGATATACTCTTCATCTGTTGGAAGAATGTGTGTCATGAAATAGGGTGGAAATAACACATCAGACTATGTTTGGCGGGTCTACTCCAGTCCAAAACCAGGCAACCTTCAGTATTTATCTGTAGGAGAAGGGTCCCAACTGTCTTCATTTCACACAGAAGTCATTTTCCCTTCCACTTCCTGTTTCAAAACCAGAAAGCAGATGGGAAAATGACTTCTGTTTCACTATTCTAGCCAGGACACGTGTGTAGACTCTGTACACAACCAATACCAGGTCATCTGGGAAACCAACATTTAGGTAATGGTAGAAAGGTGCAAAGCAATGTGGTGAATCGACAGTAGAAGGAGAGCCCCTTACCAACCACATGTGTGAGGACTTATGTTGACTGATCCTATGTCAATCCAACACCAGTTTACCCAGGAACTGACATCCAGGCAGTGGTAGGATAATGGAAAGCCAGCTAGAGGGGTGAACTGCGAGTGACAGATTCATCCAGTCCAAAACCAGGCAGCATTGGATATTTTTCTTCTGGTCCGTAGTAGGAAAAAGAGTACTCACTATCTTCACAAACAGAACACCACCACCCTACTCTTAACTGAGTAGAATTGGTCACACTCAGGAGGAAGCCTCCATGGTCCATCATCCCAGCAGGGGGATATAAGACAGGGAAATGAGACACCACAAAAACCCTACTTTGAAAAGCAGGCCAGTTCCGGTTAATTCAATTTGGAAAGTAGGGATGGGCAGTAATCCCGATACTGCTTTATTCATGATAGTCCACAAGTTGGTACAGTCTAGTGAAGGCCTTATTTATGAAGCAAGATACTGTAAGCTAACCTCTAGTGGTCTTTGGAACACTCCATCACTTCAATGAGCATTAAGGCCATATATTGAATATTTACAGTTAAGTGTACCTAAACAGGCACCACTCACCACAGAGCTGGAGCCAGAAAAGAAGAAGAAATGGTCACTGTTAAGAGAATAAATAAAAGGAGGAACTCTCCCTTTCAGAGTCAAAATGAGGTATGGAGAATGGTGACGAGCAGTAATGGATAGCCAGATGGGGAGAAGATGGTCAAATGATGTAGATAGTGGGTTATAAATGCCAGTCTGCACAATTTCTTTTAATGGGCAATGGAAGTGAGCAGCCAAAGAAAAGGTGAGATGACATATCTGGTGGGAGAAAGTGGTCAAAGGTTCAAACAGAGAAAGAGTAAGGACATGAAGGACCACACTGAGATTCCAATCAGATGGGAATTGGACAGGGCAGACGAATCAGGTGAAAGGACAAAACAGAGAGAAAAATTTGTGACGGGTGTGGAAGAAATGAAAGGTATTAGGTAATGCCATCCTACAGCTTGCAATGATGGAATATGATACATCATTGTCAAAGGGCCAAGTAAATCAATCAGAAAGGTGTGAAAACTAGGTCAGGAAGATGAGAAACCATGGCACATTGACCAATTCAGGAAAATGCACCATTTCCTCTGGCAAACCTTTAAAGAAGAAGAGTGGACCAAGTGAGAAAAAAGGGAGGCAACTTGTGGAGAGAATCCAGATTGTCTCAAAAGAGATTGGGAAAATCCATGTGTGAAGCTGGAGTGTAGATGTGGCGGGATGAAATATGGGGCTTGAAGTTGACGTAGAAGGATCAGGAAAGTGGAAAAGGTATGGGAGAAAACGACTGAAGGAGGTTCGAGATCAGAAACCATGGATGATCAAGGCAGAATAGGAAGATAAGAAGGACTCAATACAAAGTGGCTTAGATAAGAGTGAGAGAGAGAGAACACAAGGAAAAAGATGAATAGGAAGATAAGCATAAAGATAAAGATTGGTCTTTTCCTGACTGAAGGCATCTGCCACTAAAGCCGAATAATGTGGAACTGGAGACCAGAAGAGGGGCAGTTTGGTAGCTAATTGATATACAGGTTCATTAGGTTCATACAGGAGTACATACACATTTTCAGTTTTGCATTTTGCAGTTTTTATTGGTGTTTTTGCATTTTTTTTACCACAACTTTGCCCCCCTTAGATGGATCTTCACTAAATGTAGTATGAAGGTTCATTGGGAGATATATACAAATTTTCAGTTTTGCACTTTGTATTTTGTGGTTTTTATGGACATGTTTGCATTTTTACCACTACCTCACCTCCTGTTGATGGATCTTTACCAAAACTTGGTATGAAGATTTGATGGGTCCATGCAAAGATAAATTCAAACTTGAGATTTCACATTTTGAGTTTTGCAGTTTTTATGGGTGTTTTTTTTTACAATTACATATAAGGGAAAAAACTTTTCATATCCTAAGATCACCTTTCATAATCATGAATTTACATAACTTCCATCCAGGGGACAAGTACACCAACTAGTTCTAAAATAAAATCAGCATCACTGTCTACTTTTCATTTAAGTTACAAATTTTATTCTACTAATAAAAACTTCTTGATGACAGCTTATTATTATCTTCTTTTAAGTTAATAAAATATAAACGTTTTGGGAGACAAAGAAGCATGGAAAACCAGTTGTCGTTCTTTAAGAAAAAGATTTGGTAGAGAAAGCTACTAGCATTAAATTGTTTGTTTGTTTGTTAAGGATTTCGCACAAAGCTACAAGAGGGCTATCTGTGCTAGCCATCCCTAATTTAGCAGTGTAAGACTAGAGGGAAGGCAGCTAGGTATCACCATCCACTGCCAACTCTTCGGCTACTCTTTTACCAATGAATAGTGGGATTGACCATCACATAATAATGCCCCATGGCTGAAAGGCCGAGCACATTTGGTGGGACTGGGATTCAAACCCACGACCCTCAGATTGCGAGTCGAGTGCCCTAACCACCTGGCCATGCTGGGCCACTAGCACTAGATATGGCAGATTAGTATGACAGACATATTATAACATATTCTTGTTTATTTTCACTCACAAGTTCTTAGAATAACCTACATATTAAAAACTGGCTAATTAGCAATATTAACACAACATCATGTCTAGAAATTATTTTCATTTATAGCTGAATTTACACCTGGTAGTGCAGAAACTTTTTCACAGAAGTTTGCAAAATGTTAATGTCTGCATCTGTTTCTCATGCACAAAGTAAGAAAAAAACAGTATCATGACTTTTTACATAAACAAACAACACAAATAGCTTATTTTGAAGTCGGCATTTTTGCAATAGTCATTTAACCTTTATTAAAAAACATCTTTTGTATAAATAGAGATTTTAGGTCATAAAAATAACACTGAACTGTTTACAACCATTTCACGATTATTTGACAATAGAAATACCTGAGACTCTTCTGGCTGAAAAGGAATATCAACTTTTGTGACACTTGTGTTTTTCTCTTCAGCTATTTGAGAAGAACAGGAAGGTAAGTTAGAGTTTTCTTCCAATTGGGATTTTGTTGAATTATTTTTCTCCCTATACGTTTCATTACATTCAACATCACACTTGGTTGAGAGTATTTCTGTTTTTCTCAAAGAATCACTAATGTCTTTCTCTGAAGTTTCATTTCTAACTATTGCCATGGAGTCTTTTTCTTTAAGAATTGCATCTTTAGGGAAATTTTTGTGTTCACTATTTGTATTAATTGCCTTTAGCACAGTTTTTGTGTCTTCTTTTGTCGGGCTAGTTGTTTTTATCTGTTCATTTGGTTCTTTTACTTCAGAGTTATCTATATCAAGTCCAATTTTCTCCTCTTCATCTGTAACATCATCTTCAGATGGCTTTATTTTTACCTTCTCAGATTCAACCTTATTCTCAGTTAACATTTTCTCAGGGTTATCTGTCTTGGATTGATATTCTAATTCACCTATACTTATTTCATATTTTACTATATCCTTTAAAGAGTTCGGCTTTTCTTCTTTCACTTGAGTCTCCTCTTTAATTTTTATCCCCTCTGGGCTAGCTCCTCCTATAAGTAAGGACAAAGAATTTGAAATAGAGACATGGAAACTACTAACTAAAGACACAAAATACAATAACAAACTGAAACATAATTGAAATTTCATGAAAATTATGAAACTGTTATTTATACATATATATCTAAGTCTTAAGCATATAACATAAAAACTTCATCAAACTATGAAAAAAAAAGACTTTTATACAGTTTTTGAAATGGTTTATTTCTTTAGAATTTGATTTAAAAACACAATAAAGAAATATGCAAAACAATTTCACATGTCTGATATGAATACCTTTTGAATGTATTATCTAAATTATAGTACTTTATCAGGTAGTTACACAACTTATTTTTAAGTCCTTAAAAAATAACTGTTATCATGTGACTGAAACAGATAATTTGAAATCACAAATATTTCATGAACATATATATTATTTCACCAAAATGAGATGCATTTGTTTAAATTATTATTTAATATATATATATATTACACAATAGTCAAATAAAAACACACCTGATGAGGTTGGTGCTAGGCTACTGTTGACAAATGTCTTTCCCTGAGGTAATGCTTTTAAGATATCTTTAAAAGACAGGTCCGGATCATGAAGAAGTTGGAAGTCTAATCGACTCAAGCCATACCTTTAACAAAACAATTTTAATTATTAAGAATTTATACTTCCATTCCAAATATCAAGTTAAGCATGAAAGTGATCTACTCCTATTCAAAAACACAAACTAAATTGTATAAAACATGGCAAAATTAACATTACAAATGCTTAAATGTTGATTATAGTAAATTATTGGTAAATTTAAGTTAATAGTACATAAGCAAAATAAAAATACATATCTTACTGAAATACATTAAAGCGATCCATTCATTCCTACACTTAAATGTAATTCATGTTTTCTCAAACTACGAGTCTCAACAATCCCATGGAGGACACTGGTGATTCACAAGGTCCTAAGAAGTTGAAAAGATGTAAATAAATCTGCTTGAACCTTTTTGTAAATACTAATATATTCAAATGAAGCTGCTTCATCTCCTCAACCTCTTTGCTGTTTGGTTGCACTAATAGGAAAATATTTCCTTTTTTCTCTTCTTAGTTCCTTTCAGATGTCTGCACAAAAGCCACACAAGGGATATCTGGAATCTGCACATAATAGTCTCTAATTCTGAGCTGATAGACTCTTGGGTTAATCTTCTCTGAATGAATAATGGGATTTGTCTGTCACTCTTACAGCACAACCGTGATCTCAAAATAAAGTGTGCTTTTGTGGCATCAGGACGCAACAAAAGATTCTTTGGATTCACAGGTTGGGTTGCTAACCATTAGGCCATAGACAGCCCTTCTTTTTAAAGTTCTATTATTTTTGTAACTGAGGTTTAAAGCTATAGAATACTTTAACACAAGATCTCTCCCTCAACCAGAGACAAAGCAGTGTTTTGATGCAGGGTAAGGAAGTAGAAAGTCTGTTTTTTTGTTTTTTTTTTTGGGGGGGGGGGGTAGAAAAGTGTTGCATACACTGTTGGAAAGTCCTGAATCTGCTGTATTCAAATAAGCAATCCACTTAATGGTAACACGTATCATTTGGTAGTTATGAGCAGTTAAAAGAAAACAGGGTTTCAGAGTGGTCCCATCAATTTACCAGTTATGTTAACATACACAGAATGATTATCTTGTTTTATTGATTCTCAAGTGAAATTATGCAACCTTTTTTTAATTTTCTTTTTGAGGTTAGAGACCTTGTTCTAGATCTTTTGATCTGGTGGAAGGCTACTACTATCTTCAGTACTGTCATTATCAGTACTGATTAGCCAGTTTTAGCTCATCCAATTTTTCATCAGATGTGTAAACTTCAACTTATAAAAATCATATCTCAACATATGTTACTTCTTATATAGGTTTAACTAAAATCAGATAATTCCCAGATTTTTGTATGTCAGATTCCTGCAACTAAGGTGTCTCTGGTTGAGGGAAAGATCCTGTGTTACAATAAACTGTATATGCATTTCATTTTAAGTTTTTAATCATACAAAAAATGAAGGATGGGGGGGGGGGGGGTCTTGAATGTTCATCCTGTGTCTTAAACCTAAGAAATCTGAAAAACCCTTATATTGATAATCCATTTTTAAAACCATGAAAAAATTATGATCACATCTTAAAGTGAAAAAAAAAGATAAATTCTTACTTGGCAGCACCAATGAGCAAATCTTTGTCATGCTTTCCACATTGCCACCAATCTGGTAGGTCCATTGAGGGTTGACACAATTTTAATCTTTCATCCAGCTCAGGATGAGACAAGATCTCCTCTCGTATCTTGTTCAGGAGTTCAATCCTCTGGAGACAACGACTGGCTCGTTCCTCTGAGATTGGTTCGACAGTGAGTGGAATAAGATCTATACAATAAATTTTAAAAAAGCAAAGAAGTGGTTTAATTTGCAGAACCATTTAACTGCTTTAACTCACTTTTAAGTGTAGTTTACTTAATTTCCAGTGTATTAACATTTTCCTAAACTGAAAATGTATTTCCAATAGATAGTTACTTCCACTCACAAAAAGCTTTTTTGACTTATACTGCCCTCTATTGGCCCAAATGTTCGCTCACCACTAGCCTTGTTACTCCCACTTATTACTGCATACTAAGATGCAAACGATCATGCAGCAACCTTCACCAACATGAGTGCGACACTCTCATAACTAGCACCCTCTCTAATCATGCACATGTTAATCCCTTCAAATTGGTCACAACTAAACAAACGAATTTAAACTGGAAGTGGGGAGGACAGGTGGGAAATGTGAGTGGAGGTATCTACTGGAAATACATATTAAGTTTCGAAAATTATAACTTCTGATACGATATCTTTCCCCCTCTCACAAAATGCTAGAATCCAACACTGAACTAGTGGAGAGCCACAGAAAAGACAATCTTCTTTAGGAAGTACCCAAAGAAAGACCATCAGGTGTGATAAGAAATTAAAAACAACACATCATTGGAAGATCATGCCATTTCTGAGCCAGGTATACTCTTTGCCATTTAATAATGTGTCATGAAAACTTAAAGTGCTTCCAAATAAAAACAGAAATAATGGGACTCCCTGATGTAGAGTGGCTAGTGTACGGCAGACTGTAAATGGGAGTTCAACCTCAACCAATACCTAGCGGCATCTGGAATTGTACATCAGGTCCATGGTGGGAAGAGGGTCCTCTACCTTTCACCTCAAAAATGGGTACCAGCAGGGAAGAGGAGCTCCCGTACCTGTCTTCACATGTGCGCACCTCCAACATAACCAACACCAGACCCACCAGGAACTGACATCCGACAGACAATAGGAAGGATGATAGCCAACAGAAGGAGAAATTCACAAAAGTACAAATGTGTGGATAAGTTAATTAAACTGCAAGCAAAAGAACACTTTTAAACAGTAGGACTGCCAATTGAGAAGTGATTAACATGTGTATGATTAGAGAGGGCGCTAGTTACAAGAGGAGAAGTGTCGTACTCATATTGGTGGAGGGTTACTGCATGATCATTTGCATCTTAGTATGCAGTAATAAGTGGGAGTAACAATGCTAATGGCAAGTAAAATTTTGTGCAAATAAAGGGCAGTAAATCAAGAAAGCTTTTTGTTAGATGAGGTAAGATATTATATTGGAATTCTCTATTCTACAAAGTGAACAATCATCAGCAACATATAATATCTCTTTCTAGGCATATTTATTTGTTATTATGGACAACCAGATGTAAAAATAATTATATACCTACGAAGAATATCACGGATCATTATCGAGGAAACAAGAGGGAATTCTTGATAGCAACGGCACTTGAAAGTCTTTTTGGCAGGATTAGAGTAAATTAATCTGTGAGACCTTTTTTTCCATTTAATTAGCTATATTTTTGTGCACCAGCAATGCCAAGCATGAGGTGAGCATATACCCGATTCAATTTCATTACTCATCAGGATCTCTACCAGCCTACCCTCAAATTGAAATTCTTTTAGGCATGATTAGAGTAAATTAACCTATGAGACCTTGGGCATGTTCAAAAACATCAATCAAAATGGTTTGACATCCTGAAGCCAAAACTATAATTAAGAGCTCAAATTGGTCAAGAGGTGATGAAGCTATGAGCTAAAAGTTTGTACTTTATAAAAAAAACAAACAACCCAGAGCAATTCTATGAGCCGCTATTCCATGGCTAAAAATAAATATGTTACAGATGTTATCATCTTTATTTATTAGTACAGAAAATATCTTAAGTTTTTGTATTGTATAATATCCTTATAGCATTACAATGCAATTCAGGATACTTTGTTTCACATGGTTAAGTATACAAAAAAAAGTAAAATTAACATTAAATATTGTAATCAATTAAACTGTCTGAATACTTTTATACAAAATAATTAAGCTAAGTTTACACAAAATTATCATCATAACAGATTCATCTGGTTCTATTAAGTTAAAATCACAAATGAAGTATTGAGGTGCATCTCAATGATCACAATAATCAATAACTTATTAACCCTTTCCATACTGAAGGGGTATCACTAATATCCTATGTTTGAAGTAGAAATACTTAACCAAATTACATAAAACGTAATAAACTTGTTAAATATTATATAGTTTTTGTTTAAAAAAAGAAAATCTGATTTAGTATTTTTATCATTTTTTAGGTTATGAAATTTCCAAAATTTGGCGTGTGACACTGTTTTGAACAAAAAAACATTATATATAATATTTAGAATTTATATTTTTTCACTATTTATTGGAAAGTTCCATTTTTATGTACTCTGTCAGTTTCAATTTATCTTATAGTTATTAATCTACTTCTTTTGTTATTTGCCAAATAGCAATAAATCACACAAACATGAAAGAAAAATATTTATTAGTGACCTAGGTCTTCAGATTTCAAAATGGCATCAACATTAACTCTGTCAGGCTTGGTACTGTGATTTTTACCAACAATATTTTTAGTTGAAATCAACTTATATTAAATAAATATAACATTTCTTCAATAAACTATAAGTTACTTTATTTGTGTGTGTTGTCTGGATATGATAAATGCGAGAATAATATTCAATAACAAACAATTTAATTCTTCATGTGCTGTATTCACTAAATTTAACTAAACTTACTCGATGTTTTGTAATACAAGAAAATTCCTGTAGCTTTCAAACAAATGTATAATTTAATATGGAAATATTTTAAAAAATAAACAGAATGTTAAAAACTAAGAAAAATTGTCAGATCTATCATTTATTTCTAAGATTTGTAAACTCCACATTAGAATCCTTTTTTGTCTGTATAAGAGCTCCAGGTAGTCAGTTGACAAACAACTAATTACTGTTAAAATCACCCCATTTACTTTATAGAGATGGAGACATAAAAGAACCTCTTCTATTCAATCATTCCTAACCATTCGATCTAGCTTAGTTTCTTTAGTAATTGTTAGACCACATCCTGTGACATTGTAAAAAAGTGGTAGTAAATGCTGTAGTAATAAAGACACTGACATAGAAGGAAAATAACACGGCTTGAATCACCATGTTTCCAAGACACAATAGTTTCTTAGCAAATATAAATCTATAGTTTTGGATTATCAGAAAAATTCTAGAGCAATCAATAAGTACAACTGTTTATAGGCAAGTCTCCTCGGAACTATGCAGAAATGAAAGCTGGAAATTATTTTTCTTTGTGAATTACACTGAAATGACATTTAATGATAAAATACAAATTCTAAATTTTTTGAAATAGGAGTTGGAATTAAATTTTGTACTTCAACTTTTGAAATTTGATTGATAGGGTTAAGACTTAAACATTATATTTAAAGTGAAAACTACAAGACACTCACTTTCTTCTTCTGTCAATTTCCTGCCACATACTCGTTTACACATTGCATAGAAGGCTTTAAAGTATTCAGTCAGAGTATCATCAAGCTTCCTATCCAATCTTGCTATAGCCTTGAAGCGATTCCATACATATTTCCTTTCGTTATGTTTGTATTCTACACCAAAAGAGGACACAGTACGGTAGAAATCTGCTTCTTCTCTGCGGGACCACCTAATCATAGACAATACATTATCTGTTGTGATTTACTTAAAAACTTCCACTCTCAAAACACATCTAGTAACACGGTATTACAATAAAGTACCTTGGTTTCTGGACCAAGGGAGGGGCAACTGATATCCCTTGATTTTCTCTATCCAACAGTGGAAATACTTAAACAAATTGCATAAAGCTTTAAAAGAAAATGCTAAACAGTATATAATTTCAGCTTGAAAAAAATCATATAATTTGATTTAGATTTTCCATATTTTTTTTTATAAGTTTTGAAATTTCTAAATTTTTGTTGCGAGACAAAAAAACATTATAAATACTTCCTTTCATCATTGAATTTTTAATGTTCATCAGAAGAAAGTTCCAATTTATATATCCAATCATTTACAACTAGACTGATACTCATTTACATATTTCTTTTGATACTTTATTCTGCTGATGGTAATAGTCATCAATTCTAGCAATAAATAATAAAAATAAAACACAGCAGAAAGTGAAAGAGATGATATAGAATTTGACCTTTCAAAGTGATAGATCAGACAAGGTAATAATATTTTTGTTAACAATATTCTTGGTCAAAATCATTTTATATCTAAAAAATATACATTTTCCAATATCTTTATAAGATCTTATACTCTTTGCACAAGTAAGATAACCTTAACAATAATATTAATTGAATAATGATTTGAGTCTGTTTGTCACATTGAGATATCTGTTGCACCCACCACGAGGAATCAAACCCTAAAGTTTAGTGCTTTAACTCTGCAAACTTACCACTGTCCAACTGGGGCCCCGATTTGAGTCACTGGAATATTTTGTTACAGAAGAAATCTCCATAGCTTTTAAACGTATAATTTATAACAAATACAATTTTAGGAACAAAGAGAAAATTAGAAAAGAATAAAATCACTCCAAGATTTATGGTTAGTTCTAAACTTCCCATCACATTCTGTTGTTCTTGTTTGCACAAGCTCAGTCTTGACACTTTCCCATGAAACCATAAATTATGTTGCACACCACCTTTTTTTTTACTCTACACTGATATAAATAGTTTATAATGTGCTCTATCCAATGGCATATAAACTTTAAATGTAGCTATTTTTAAAGCTGAGTTTCATTAGTAGTTTTTCTATCACCTGCTATAGGAATTGAAAGGTTTTACTAATAAAATTGAGAGATTAAACTTACACCATTGAGCATGAAAGTTTAAATAAAGTTCAATTACCTAAATTTCAAATAAAAGTTCAGTAGCTATTTGCTTATTGTTTAATCTAGACTTCATTTCAAGGATTAGAAGTATCTCTTTCACCCATAGCATGGTCTCGTTTTTGGCTTTATCAATTACTTTGAACGTAATGGAGGTTGGGACCATATTAAATTCACTTAATGCATGTTGAACAATGTTTGAACTGTCCTTGAACCTAGGATTAGAGTATTCCTTTAAGCCAGTGTTTCCCAGAGTAGGAGCCACAGACACCCTGCAGGCCATGAAGCTTTTTTTGGGAGGCCACCAAAAAATGGGCAAAAAACAAAGATGCTGAATTAATTTTAATTCTAAATAAACAGTAAACCGATAAAATATTAGGAGATATTATTGTTTTTAGTAAGGCACTGTTTTTTAATCACCATGCTAAGGTAGTGCAAGGGGGGAGGAACAACCACGTCAGTTGGTCGTAAGACTCGAGAGAGTGCTAACTGATTTTGTTCACATTTAAGCATCTATAATGTAAGCATATCAGAGGTTAATCTACATTTGTTATACTTTTCGTAAAATGTTAATAACAGTGGTGAAAGTAGGTCAGTATGGCATACCAGTATGAAATATTTTTTAATTACTAAAATAACCAATGTGACACACAAAACAAATCTCCAGTTGTTTTATTTCGATAAATTTGCAAACATACAATTTAATAGAAAAAGTACTTCACAGATATCATTAAAGTTCATCAATAATAATTTTGAAATTGATAAATAACATTTTAAGGCATTTTTATAGGTTGTGGGGCCTCAAACTTTTTTACTGACATCAAGGGAGCCTTAGACGAAAAGAGATTGGGAACCACTGCTTTAAACTATTTCCTAGTCTTTAAACAGTTGATCAAACATAAGTAATGCCCACATGTTGGGCAGCAGAATTAATATATGTGACTGTTGAGAAAACTGGATACGATCTTTAAACTGAAAAAATTCTGAATTCTCAATAAAAGTCTGAACACAAGTTGAAAGTGAACTTGTGGGTAGACTCTGTTGATTATGGTGTTTAGTTTCTTCTTGAAGATTTGTAAGTGTTAGCCTATGTACGGTAGAGAGAGATTACTTGCTGTAGATTCAGAATTTCATAGGTCAGTGACTGGGTAGATATAGTTGTTCAATGGTTTTATTGATGATAGAATCAATAAGGTAGTTCGGGAAGAAGATAAATGTTAAAACAGATTTTACGCTGAGCAACTCTCACAGTAAATATAATTTGTTTACCAATATTGAGTATTTGTTTTGAATCGTACATGTGCAAAGTAATTTTCATGTTAAAATTAAAAATACTTATTAAATTAAATACTTATAAAAAAATTAAATTTCCTTTGTGTAATCCTTAAAACCTCCTAAATGCATTTAAAAAGCTTTTTTAGTATAATTTTATAGTTTATCTGTTATTTTCTCTAACCTATCTCCAAACGGGATCGGTCAATTCAACCAACCTCATAACCATAAAAAAAAAAAAAAAATCATCAAGATAAACCTAAATTAACCCTTTTTATTTCTAGAATGACTTCAATTTGTAACATGAAACTGCATTCATTTATCTTTAGTAGTTTTAAACATGTAACAGTATACTTCTATTTATAATTAAATGTTATTGTTTTATTGCCCTTTGAACCATGTCTAACTACTATCCATACCATTATACGTTGTAAATCACTAGGGGAACATGCAGCTCACGTTACACTATCGAATTACATCACCCATGAGCTGCTCGCATGCATACCTCGTGAACCATTTTCATTATATTATTATTACATATTTTACCTGATCTAGTCTTAAATAACTTAAAATGGTCTATATTTTTAGATTTCAGTTACTTTTAC